CATTTTTATAAATAAGTAATCGTAGTTATTCACCCTTTAGGCTAAAGACAGATGAATCATCCTTGTTCAAATCAGGCTTATTGGCCATTTTTGTTTGCATCCTCTGAACCATGTCTATATCAATTTCCTAAAATAATTTTCTTTTGCTAAATTTCAACAAATTTTAAATTGAAATATGCAAATTTTGTTCTATTAAGAAATTCATAATATTCTAAAGTGTTATTTTATTGGCAATTAAATTTTCTAAAATTATTTTTTAATCATATACAATGCGAATCTCTTTCTGCGAAATGCGAAATTAATGCGAATGTCTTTCGCGAATCAATGCGAATCTCTTTCACAATGTGAATCTCTTTTTTTTTTTTTTCAATCAGTTTTCTTATTCGAAAATTGCGAATTAATAAACACAAATATATCACTGATTAGGAAAAAAAAAACCATGGGTTAAGAATATTCCAGAATATTCCAGTTACTTAAAATTCAATAATAATGATTAGTTTTTTGTTTGAAAAATTCAATCTTTCGGTTATCTATTCAACAAACAATTTGCCAAATGTATGAAATGACCAATTATTATTGCTCCTGATATATTCCATTTTTAGATCTATCCTGATATTTCAATTCGTACTTTTCTTTTTTTTTTTTTAAATTTAAATTTTACTTCTAATTCATTTTCGACAACATCATCTGTTTTCCTATCTCGATTATCTTTCGATACATCCTGTGCATATGATAATGTTTGTGTTAATGAATCATTAGAATCTGATTCCACTGTACTTATAAGACTTTCTGTTACTCCATCCAATGATTCGTCATAGCAAAATGGACGCTAAAAAAAAAAAGTTTCACATTGTTTTAATTTTTTTGTTTAAAAAAATTTTGCTCTTTTTTTTCCATATGTAAATTTTTCAGAGATTTTTTGGGACATTTTCATTAAAATATTTAAATTTTATGATTTGTAAAATTTCAAAAAAATGAAAGATAAATATAAAAAGAAAAAAAAAGTTATAATTAATATAAACATACTGGTGTTTTTTTTGTTATTGGAATTGTCAATTTCTCCTTTTTTAGACTTTTTGAAATTATTCGATCACTTGAATGTCGTCTCTAAGCACAGTATATTTTATTTTAACGTATCGGAGAAAAAGAAAAGAAAAAAAAAAAACAGCCTTAAATTTTGCTTGGTTTATTTATAACTGATAATCTATGTAATATGGAGATGTATGATTTAACTGATAATTTCTTAACACTTATTAATTTTAGCTATTTAGCGATCGGTACATAGATACATTAGTATACTATCACTTCTGCATATATTATTATTTTTAAATTGTATTATTATTATTATTATTGTATATATTATTA